AGATCAAAGGGACGGGAAGGCGGCTCTGTTTGTTTGTGGTGTTTACCGGGGGTCTTTGAAGAAAGGTCCTAAAATCCACTTTCGGGCAGAGTTGCTGTTTGTCAGCTGCTTTCTCTTGCGGGGTGCTAAACGGGTCTGGTATGAGCGCAGCCTTGACAGGGCAGGGGGGAATGTAGCATTTGCCCACTGGAGAGTGCGTGATAAATGTTTTGCCGATGACTGTACCAGTAATGTATCGGGCTCCAGCCACCCACGGATTCCCTCGCACCACTACGCTAAGAGAATGATTTCCCAGTAATTAAAGAGCTCTCCTAGGACCGAGGCATGGATAGGGACATGTTTATCACGCTATTAGCCAATTGTACACTGCATAGATTTTTTTTTTTTTTTTTTTTTAAGTGTAGTCCCGGAGACTCTTTACACAAGGGGTACTCTGATGCAGTCAACTCGTCTTCTTTTTATTCGATATTATTTGTAACTTTACACTTCGGTGTCATATTTCTAATCGAATACCTTTCTTTTAAGGATGAAAAATCCTGGAAGTATAGAATACATATATATATATAAAAACATTATTTGAAGTATTAGCATTCAAATAGCCAGCTGAGGATGTGGCTTTTAGAGTTAGCATTTCAAAGAGAAGCGGGTGAAACAGATAGGCAGTCACCCTGCTCCAGCAGTGAATTCCAGAGCAGGAGATCTGCAGATTAGGCACAACGCCTGTCATTTCTGCGCCTCGCGCTGTCTTTTAGGCATAAAAGATGAAAAGTTTGTCCTACGCTGAAACATCAGATCAACCTTAATGCTTGTTCTGCGTGAACGATTTGTGCCATGACTTTATCTCCTTGTCCTTGATGATGTTGCTTAGCGCGCCGATTATAACAGACAGGTTTTCATTAGTGTGAATGTTTATAACTTCCTTCGTAGGTAGCTTGCGGCTGGCTGAACAGTATTGCCTTTTATTTGCAAAGCCTCACGCGACTTGCATGCCATCATCTTTCTTAGTTGGTAACAAATCATGTGTATTATGGTATGTTTTGTTTTCGTAGACAAGATGTGAAATGGAGAAATACCTGGCACCTCAGCTCCCGCCCGTTCCCGTCATCCCCGAACATAAGAAATACAGAAGAGACAGTGCCTCGGTTGTAGACCAGTTTTTCACTGACAGCGAAGGGTTGCCTTACAGCATCAACATGAACGTCTTCCTCCCTGACATTAGCCACCTGAGAACTGGCCTGTACAAATCTCAGCGACCCTGTGTAACCCACATCAAGACAGAGCCGGTCACCATCTTCAGTCACCAGAGCGAAACTACTGCCCCTGCCCCTGCCCCCACTCAGGCCCTCCCCGAATTTACCAGCATCTTCAGCTCCCACCAAACTCCCGATGTGAACAACATTTTCATCAAGCAGGAGCTTCCTACTCCAGACGTTCATCTTTCCGTCACGCCCCAGCAAGGCCAGTTATATCAGCTCCTGAGCTCACCGGATTTAGATATGCCCAACACTACTACTCAGGCAGCCGTGATGGACTCCCTTAACAATGTCTCCATGCCGTCAGCCATGGCGGGCCTTAACACGCTCTCCTCGGCTGTTCCACAGACTGCGATGAAACAGTTCCAGGGCATCCCCCCCTGCACCTACACCATGCCAAACCAGTTTCTGCAGCAGCAGGCCACTTACTTCCCTCCTTCGCCCCCAAGCTCAGAGCCTGGAAGTCCAGACAGACAAGCAGAGATGCTACAGAATTTAACCCCTCCTCCATCGTATGCCGCAACTATAGCTTCCAAGCTCGCAATTCACAATCCGAATTTACCAGCAACCCTGCCCATAACCCCCCAGAATATCCAACCAGTCAGATACAACAGGAGAAGTAACCCAGATTTGGAGAAAAGACGTATCCACTACTGTGACTATCCCGGTAAGCGGTCTGTGCCAGAAAATCCCAGCTCTTGCAATAAAAGAATTGTAAATAATTGTGGACGAGGTATAAGTGGTTTTCTTTAGCTGTAGCCTACACCTAGGGAGAACCAAATCATTTCTTGTTAAAGAAGAATTTCTCTTCTTTGTTGTCCTACTTTGTGTGTCACACTTTCACATTCTTTAAATAACTTACAACCTTTTCTTCATGTCATTTGTTACTCTCTTAAATGCATGAGCTCATTTTACTGTGTTACAAAACTTGTACCCCATAGAAAAGAAAGGAAAAAAAAAAAAAAAAAAAAAGATGGCCTTCTCTAATGTAAGTCAGTGTGACCGTGCAGCTCCTGCTCCACTTTGCCAGTACCCGCGGTGGAGCAGAGGCTCAGTTTGTCCAATGCAGTACAGCTCAGCTTGAATCCACTGGCACTGAAAGAATCATTTCAGCTCCCAGTAGCTGAGGCCATGGCCGTATCTTCCCTGTTAGGAACAGGGGATTCAGCTGCCCGCATAAATCCATTGAAGCTACCTCTGAAAACTGTCCGCAGATGGATTCCCTTCCAGCCTCTCCTTCTCCTACACTGAAGGGGAATAGGAACTTGACTATAAACCGTGCCTCCACATAGTACGTGATCCCAGATACAAGACACTCACACCCATCTGAGCGCAGACAGAAATTGCTGCTTGTGGTTGATCTCCCCCTTTACCAACATAACTCTCAGTGGTGTATCATCCGTATGGTGTGCAGCATGATAAATGCTCAATAGAAAAGTTATGTTGAGCCCTGGGTAACGATGACACCGAGAGCAAATGCTCTAGGAAATTTTTAAAAAATAAAATCCCTCTCTGAGTTTTTAATTTATGTAGCAGGTGTTACTGTACATAGATTGTAACAGCTATTGGTCTGTACTACATTACATGTAGTAAGTCTAACAGAAACATAAGTGTTTTTCTTTTTTCTATGTAAAGCAACATCTCCCTAGGAGCATTCTATATCAAATTTTACTTCTAAATGATGATGGTGCCAGAAGGTAGTAAACTTAAATGTTTCCAGATAGTACCCCAGCACTGAGTGAGGAAGTTTAAACGTGAAGTGGAGCATTCCTGTTCTCCCTGCTGAAATGCCTCTCTGCTTTTTTGTTTTGTTTTGTTTTAGGCTGCACGAAAGTTTATACAAAGTCTTCTCACTTAAAAGCGCACCTGAGAACTCACACGGGTATGTACTCACTCTCTCACTGTCTCTTGTTCCTTCATGGCTTACACATTTTCTGAGAAAGCAAGCGTGTTTGATCTGCCATCTTCTCCCCGTTTTTTGTAGAGTAGTGTGGGTTCAGGCTGGCAGTTCAGTTAAGAAAAATTTAAGGTTTGGTCAATGAGAGGAAAAATTGCTTTTATTCTTAATGCAGTTTTGTTAAACCTTTTATAATACAGAACTCAAAATAGCTGAGAATAAAACAGACAGAAACTTTCCTTTTCAATGTAAAATGCCATAAAGTGTTAAAAAAAAAAGGACTTTTTCCCCTTGAATACTGTATTAAGCATAGTAAACATGTTATAGTTTTCAAGATTTATCTAAATAGATTTTTCTGGTCTGGGCTTTCTCTTTGACCTGTTAGAATTATTTAATCTTAGAATTTTTCAGAAACGTCATGAAAACTCCCAAGATCTCTCTATTTGCTTTGTCCTTAGCATTAAGTGTGCTTTTTTTTTTTTAAGACAAGTAGTTCTATATATTTATTTAAAAAAAAAAGACATTTCAATTTTTTGTCGGTGAAAGACATTAAAATGGAGGAAATGAAAAGTGTCAGTGTGTCACACTTGTTTTTTGTACCTCGATCAAATTCTGCCTGCAGCTATAGGCGCAGTCCCCGTTCATAGGCCGGCGTGGAGCAGAGCTGGGGACAGAGCGTTGCTTGTGCATGGGCACAGGAGCCATGGGCGCAGAGGACAGCGGTTGGGAGGTGGAACTGCCCTAGATGCTCTTCCTAAGTGTTCACCTGCTGAGGCAGGGGGAAGGAGGAGAGAGGGAGACAGGGGGAGAAAAACATAGCTCCCCAACAGCACACCTGAAACTATTTAGGATAGTTCATTGCTGGGATCTTAGAACAGAATTGGTGGTGCTAAATCAGTGAAAAGCACATGACTGATTTTGTAAAGAAAGCAAATGAGAGGGCTGCGAGTCCTGTTTTTAAAACTGAGTATGAACCCCGGCTCTTTTAGGTGCGGACCTTGATTCAGAGCAAAACACGAGTCACAGTTCAAGCAACTCGCTTATTGAAGCAGGCTGTCAGCGCTATGGCTGTGCCGTTCAAGTAATTGGGTTTCACCTAAGTTTAAACCAAAAGTCAAAACAAAACTTAGCATGAGCTATGATCTAACAAAATGTTTCACTATCTCTATGGAAACAGGGCCTTTTATTCAGCAGCTATTTTGAATGGATCATTGGATTATCGTAAAGAAATTGAGTATCTCCAGGCTAAATGTTACTATGGAAATTTTGTTTTGATAAATGAAAGCGTTACCTATGTTGCAGTTGCAGTAAAAAATTAAAAGCAACTGTACAAAGATTATTGCTTTGCATTAGTAATAGACTAAACAAGAACACTGTTAAAAATATTTTTGATACATATAATCATTCATTGCCAGCAAGCTTAGTAAGAAAGGAATATTTTCATGAGGCTATAAACCTGGGTCATGTCAGAGAGTATAATCCCATTGCTCTTCCATAAATAATCTGTAAGTTTAAGAGTGTGCGATTTCCACTTACGTGCTTTAGCCAGCAACTAAATACCAGTTTTAAATATCTCACTTGCTATTATACGATACTAGGAAGAGAGATAAAAGAAAAGCTTTAGTCTAAAAATGAACATTACATAGTCATAATTTGAAACGTACACTTTTCCTTTTTAAAATCAGTTTACATCTTTTTTTGTACCTTGAGTAGTAATCACTTTAGGGTTTATAAAGTTAATACTTGTGTGCGTAGAAATACATACAACATCGCTAATATATATTGCGTAGGGTCACTAATGTTTATTGTCGCCTTCACTTTTTTACCTATAGATATTTGACCTTAGAAATGTGGATAAATGTGCAAAGGTCAGAGGAGCTGATGTATTCATGGAAACAAGAATGTTGTTTTAGATAAAAATCTAGTGAACTTAAGCAGGTCCGTAATACAAAGGGTCTTCTGGGGAGGTGAATGAAGGGATAAACTGTCTGAAGCGTGCATTACATGCAAGAATGTGAGTCCGTATCCTGTTACCTGCATTATTTCAGAGTTTGGATTAGTTTAACTCTGTTGAATATTCACTTAATACTTGAAGATTTCCAGCACTGATTCTGATCTCTGCCTTAACATACGGTTGAAATGTGTATTGCCTAGCATCGTAAATTGATTTACTGAACGTTAAAGTAAATGGGCGCAAACTCAGGGAAACCTGTGAAGTTGCACAGCTCCTCCAGGAGCGCGGGGGAATCTCACTATTGATCTCCAAAGAGAAGGGCTTGATGCCGAGGGCTAAATTTGGGTGTGTGCCTCTGTGCACCCCATCCCCCAGAACTATGAATTCATACAGCGCTATTGAGCTTTGATTTTTTTTTTTTTAATTTTTTTTTTTATAAAAAGGACTCTTGTGAAGCTTTTACCTTCAAAGTCTGAAGCAAGTGTCACGTAATCCATTTTAATAAAGTTGTGTGTGATATTCTTTCAAATCCCTTCAGGGATAGCAGACCTGTTTATCTGGCTAAACCCGTTCTTTAGTAATCATGGACCACTGAAGTTGTTTTCTCCTTATTCTTAGTTTCTTAACAATACCTTTTAAAATTGGCTGCAGTCTCTCTCTCATCCCAACCAGTCCCCGCCCTTCTCAGCAATCTGTCATCTTAAAATAAAAGAGCCTGCAGCAAAGTTTGTCTGCCATTAAAAGTCAAGACAGACCTTATGGTTTTCCTTTTGTATTGGAAAATCTCAGCGTTTTCACGGTATTTATTTAGCAGCCTTTCTCTTCTGAAAGGTTTGCACTGGGTTTAGTAGACGTTTTTTGAGAACAAACCTAAAAGGGAAATGTTGTTTTTTGATAGGTGGCATGTAGGCTGTAGTCTTTTTTCCAATTCAGATAGGAACACACTGTCAGACTTTGTAAGTTAGATTTAAAGAAAACTATAGGCAATGGGCAAGAGGAAAATCTCTTACATTTCTTAGGTGTTTACCTTACACCAAGTCAGGTGGTATAAGCTGGTACAGTTACTCTGATTTAATGTAATTACACTGGACTTTTGCTGTTGATTAGGAATCCAATATTCACGTAAAGAGATAAGCAAGGTTAATGTATTTGTACCAGTCGCTGAAGCAGGCACCCGTTTTTCTTTCTCTAGGTAATGCTTCAGTGTTTGTAAATTATGAAGTAAATTTTAGTTGTTGGTAAACTGGTAACCCCAAAATTGAATATGAACAAAAGTTTGAATGCTGCAAAGATACAGGACATTTTGTATCCAACTCCATGCAGTTCTGGAGCAGATGCCTGGTACATTTTAATGCCTTAATACACTTCAGTATGGTATCTTAACTTGATATTAGTTATTCCTGAAACAGGTAAAATTATATTCTGTATGCTAAAGTACCTGTTGGAACATCTCTAAAAACAGATTGGATTTTTTGACCTTTTGAAGCAGGGATTGTCTTTTAAAATAATTTTACCTGTTAGTTGCGGACCAAGTTTTGTTTCATAACTGGCATTGTGCAACTACGGTATATAATGGGGAAGGGGGTTATGCATTTATTGCGGGCTATCCAGCAGTAAAACCACCTTAAGGCTCTGGCAAAACAGCTGTGTGTCCAACTTCAAAAACGTGCCATATGTCAGTGAAAAGCAATTACTTTTGTGTTGTAGATAAACCTTCGGTTCCTTTTCTGGCATCTGAGTGTATATGTATCTTGAGTGATCCTTTAGAAACAGCGGTCCTATAACTTATCCTGTTAGATTTCTTTATATGTTAAAAATTTGGGCTTTGGAAGTTGAGCCTTTGATATGCAGGCACCTGGAATACCCTACCTGTACCCTACCTGTAACGCTGCAGAAGAGCTGCTGGCTCCAGGGTGGGGTTTTTTTAATTATTTCTGTGAACAGCTGCACACTTCAGAATTGTGTATGGTTTTAAGAGGAAAATCTGTCATTGTTTTGAACACATCAAGGCACGCACATTGAGGACATTTTCCAGCTGCATGTTGGTTTTCCGTATACAGAGTCTTTGTACAGGCATGTTCTCTGGTCACATGGTGGGCTTGCCATTAATAGTTTCTAGCATTAACTGCAGAACTATTTCATCTCTATCTATAGATCTAGTTTGTATTTGGTGATGGGAAGTGGAAGCCGAGATAACTCAAGAGAAATGGCATTTCTCTAAATGAGATGCACTCAAAATACTTCCACCGTCCCTAGTTATTTCAAATGTTTATATAGGCACGGGACAGCTGCTGACTTGTGTGGTTCCTCAAGGTGTTAAATGTTTTATTTTAATTTAGATCTCTAACTCAATAGGTCCAGAATTAGGCTCTGATGGTACATGAGAATTAGAACCAGTTGTGTGCAATAGACTTCAGCAGTCCAGAGGACTTGGCGCTCCGAGTTTACCGTAGCTGTATATGGATGCTTGTTAAAGGTGATACCATATAGAATTGCCTGGGAATTCAGGATGCCCGTTGTTCAGAAGGGAAGACGAGTGGTAGTCGGACTCCTGCACTTGCGAAAATGTGTATTGACTCAAATCACGCTGAGACTCGGGTGAGGGATTTCACTCATGGTGTACAAGTGGGGAACAGAGACCCCAAAAGACTCTGCTTTGCTCGTGGTTGCAGCGTGCTGTGTACGTAGCAAACTTAATCCTGGAAAAAATCTTTGCATCATGAAAATAGCTATTAAGTAATATTTCTGTGCAAATTCTGCTTCTTTAACCTGTTAGATGAGTCAGTTGCACAGATTATACTTTAAGCAGGTGTCAGTAAATGCCATCATTGATAGAGACAATAAGGAAAAATGGAGGAGCGTTAAATAAAACTGTTGACAAAGTGCATTAAAGTGCAGTGTTGCTAGACACTGCTGGAGAATATGTTTCTATCTTTTATTTATGAATTCTGCTAAGTCCATTAGTTGCCTGTGTGAGAAATGGAAGTACATTATTTTCCTGTGCAAACCACAGTTTAAGGGAAAATAATGC